GGCTCCTCCCCGCCGGAGGCCCCGCCCCCAAGCCCGCGGCCCCGCCTCTGATGAAAACAAAATATTGGAAGCCTGTGGCAGAGAATAGAGAACACGAAACATTAGGGCGTCCGCACGGCTCGGTCCGGCCCGAACACGACACCCGCACTGCCTGCTTATTCAAAGGAAAGCAAACACCGGATGTTGTCAAGCCCCTTGTTCCCTCCTGACCCCGTCTCTTCCCCGCTTCCCAAGGAAAACTCTTACATTGGGGTCCCATTCCTCTGCAGGTGTTGATTCTTTTTTTTTTTTAAAAGTGCATATTTTAAAATATTTTAAAAAATCTTTTTATTGATTTTAGAAAGAGGAAGGGAGAGGGAGAGATAGAAACATTAGTGATGAGAGAGGACTGGCTGCCTCCTGCACATCCCCTACTGGGGATGGAGCCCACAACCCAGGCATGTGCCCTTGGCCAGAATCGAACCTGGGACCCTTCAGTCCGCAGGCCAATGCTCTGTCCATCGAGCCAAACCAGCTAGGGCCAGGTGTTGATTCTTTTACTCCATATTTACCAGGCCACAAACCATGCTTAGGACCGTGGGGGCATTTTTGGCATAATATACGGGGTGTCCCCAAAAAATGTATACACACTTTAACCACTGATAGCTCCATTTTGAAAGTGAAATGTATTTTAATAAACATTTCCTTTATAATTATTCAAAGTGTGTATATACATTTGGGGGGGGGTGCCCTGTAGATATAGTGTGTGTTTCTCTCCAAACTTGGTCCCCTCTCCATTTATACTTGAGCTTCACCCATATGGGCAGGAGAGCTTTGAGTCCCTCATTTTCCCTGGATCAGCATCTAGTGTCCGTGTTCATTTATCCATTGTTGGATGTTTAGGAATTTTTTTAAGTGTTTCAAATTTGATTTATTGGCTTTCTTTTTGGCTCCTCCAAATGATGCACATTTTCTGGTGCCCTCCTGTGTCTCCACGGGACATGCCTGGGTGGTCTGCCCACCCTCAGCCTTAGTAAGTTGGTGCTTGCTTGCTCATCCAGGTGGCTGTGGCATGGAGCCCCTGGTAGCCATGTGATGGTGGCAGGCCTTTTAACTGGTGCCAGTCTGAGGTGTTCCCTTTGCTACCTCCTGCCCACAAGAGTTGGTGGGAAGTGATAAGGAGGCAGGTCTGGTACCAGGCACCTACCCCAGGCCCATTAAGACCATCATTAGGATGGCTTGTCTGGTCTTGTTCTCATCTCTGAGATGGGCTTCTCTTCCCAGGTTGCGGGTGGGAGAGTGCTATAACGTACCTTTCATTTTTACTGGTGGGAGTCTTGTGTCTAGCTTCCTTCTTCCCTAACACGAGCTGAGAGGGTCCTAGAGGCACCCCGAGTCCTCATGTTCTCCCTAGAGAGAGGGCAGGGGTCATGCTCTCCCTAGAGAGAGGGCAGGGGTCAGCTTTGCCTGGACGTACTCCTGTGCAGCCTCAGCGCAGGTGGTGAGCTGTTTCCAGCTCTCCTCCGTCCACAGATTATTCTAGAATCACTGACTGTGGGCTCCCTGCTCCCCTCTCTCCATCTCGCCAGCCTCTGAGGGGAGGGCAGGATGGGCTGCAATCCAGCCCCCGCCGCTCAGTCTCATGGGACTTTGGTTGGGTGACTGTCTCACCGGCAGTCGGTGACGAGATCACAGCTAATATGCACCGGACACTTGCTATCCTTCCTCGAGGTGACGACATTGGCCCAGATGGGCAGAGGAGCTGGGATTTGGGCCCGGCTGACAATAGCAGCAGCTGCTTCGCAGGGTTGTTTGAGGATGTAGCTCACTCGTAGACCCCCGTGCCGCCCTCCTCCCTGCCCTTGGACCTGACCACTTTCTACCTTCCTCTTCTCTCTTTCCCCAGAGGCAAGAGGAGCAGCAGCGACACGGCCCCTCGCCTTGGAGGGTCCTGTACAATCTCTTCCTGGGACTGCTGCCCTTGCCCAGGGGCCGCGGAGCCCCGGAGATGGAGCCCAATTAGGTGCCTGCACCTGCCTGGTGGACGTCGGGGACTTGGGGGGCAGGCCCCTCCCACAGCCTGACGCCCTGGCCAGCACAGGGGACATTTTCTGCACCATGTAGCATACTGGACTACGAGCCCTGCCTGTCCCAGGGGCGGGCCCGGGCAGCCACTCCAGACCCAGCCCCGGCCCAGCCTGGGGTGCACTGTCGGAGATGTGGACTCCTGGGTCCCTGGCCGAGAAGCCAGGGGAGAGAGGGCTGAGGGACTCAGCGTCTGAAGGCGGCGGTGACCGAGGGGGTGGGGACTGAGCCGCCCGCCTCTGCCGCCCACCACCATCTCAGGAAAGGCTGCTGGTGCTGGCTGCCCGTTCCAGCTGCAGGGGGGACACTGGGGGGTCCCTCCCAGTGCTCCTTCACTTTGGGCCTGGCCTCAGGCCCCTGGTGCTTCCCCCCCTCCTCTTGGGGAGGGGGCCCGTGAAGAACAAATGAGCCAAACGTGACCACTAGCCTCCTGGAGCCAGAGAATGGGGTGCGTCTGACGGCTGCCCCGGCCCGGCGCCCAGCCATCTTCCCTGAGCCAGCCGGCGGGTGGTGGGCATGCCTGCCTCACCTTCATCTGGGGGTGGCCAGGGGGGCCCAGACTGTGAATCCTGTGCTCTGCCCATGACCACCCCACCCCCCCCATCAATCCATTGCATAGGTTTAGAGAGAGCACGTGTGACCACTGGCATTCATTTGGGGGGTGGGATATTTTGGCGGAAACCGCCCCAGCCTTAGTCCCCAGGGCGAAGCGCTGGGGGGAAGAGGGGAGTCAGGGAGGGGGAGTCTCAGAAGAGGGAGGAGTCTGGGAGTGGGGAGGGATGGCCCAGCCTGTAAATTACTGTACATGCGCTGCTGTAGATACCGGAATGGATTTTCTGTACATGTTTGGTTAATTTTTTTTGTACATGATTTTTGTATGTTTCCTTTTCAATAAAATCAGATTGGAACAGTGGATCCTCTCTCTGCTCTCCTTCCCAGCCCATGACCTGGGCAGAGCTGCTGGGACCAGCTGGGGCCCATGGGCACCCCTGTCCGCAGCTGCTCCTCAAGGAGCCGGGCACCCTGTGTGAGCCCAGCCTCCTGGGCGCCTGTTCCACTCCCACTCGAAGCAAAGTCCCATGAAGGTGGGGTCTGGGGTACTTTCCCAGTGTTCTCCCCCAGATACAGTAGATCGTGGGGGCTCCGTATTTACTGAGTGAATGAGTGACCTGCAGCTCATTGAGAGCACCACAGGGAGGAGTCCTGGGGAACTTGTCAGTAATGAGACGCTGTCCCTGCTCTCATGAAGGCACTAGGTGACACGGGAAGCAGCGACATAGCGTGACAATAGTGCTGCCTAAGGCCCAGCACACGGCCTGGCACCAAGAGCTGGTGTGGACTTAATATAAGACGGCCGCCTGGGTTACCTTCCTGACAGCAGCACTGGCCCGTGCTCGTCTATGTCCTCTCCATGCAGGACTGGCCCACACGTCAATGATGAGAGAATCGTTGATTGGCTGCCTCCTGCACGCCCCCTACTGGGGATCGAGCCCACAACTCCAGGCATGTGCCCCTGATCGGAATTGAACCCGGACCCTTCAGTCCACAGGCCGACGCTCTATCCACTGAGCCAAGCCAGCCAGGGCCTTTCAGCATTTTAAAAATGTTGTTTTGGGCCATGGCCGAGCAGCTCAGGTGGACAGAGCATCATCCTGCTATGCCAAGGTTGTGGGTTTGGTCCCTGGTCAAAGCACAATCGAGAATCAACCAATGGCCCTATCTGGTTTGGCTCAGCGGATAGAACGTCGGCTGGGGACTGAAGAGTCCCAGGTTCGATTCCAGTCAAGGGCACATGCCTGGGTTTCGGGTTCAATCCCCATTAGGGGGTGTGCAGGAGGCAGCCAATCAATGATTCTCTCTCATCATTGATGTTTCTATCTTTCCCTTCCTCTCTGAAATCAATAAAAATACATTTTAAAAAAAGAACCAACCAATGAATGCATAAATAAATGGAATAACAAATCAATGTGTCTCTCTCCCCCTCTCCTCTCAAAATCAATGAATACAATAAATAGCACTGGCCAGTGTCGCTCAGTTGGTTGGAGCCTCATCCCGTAGCGGGTTTGATTTCTGGTCAGGACACACACCCAGGTTTTGGGTTTTATCCCTGGTTGGGGCCTGTTCAGAAGGCAACTGATCAATGTTTCTTTCTCACATCAATGTTTCTTTCTCTTCCTCTCTCTAAAATCAATGAAAACCATATCGAGTATTAAAAATGAAATAGATATATTTAAAAGATGCTGTTTCACTGTCTCCATTTCTGATGAGGAAGCCGGGACCATTTGAATCCTAGTTCCTGATCCCATGTATGTTGGGTCATTTCGGATTGCATCCTGGGAGGTGATGTTGTAGACATTCTGGATCTTGCTATCGCCTCCCAAGGATGTGGCTGTTTTAGTTTCAGGGGACATTTGTGTTTGCTAGACTGAAACTGCGGCAGTGGCGACGGCTCACAGTTCACTTCAGCCCTGTCTGCCCCACGCTTCACAGTCCAGGGGTGGGCAGGAGTCCTGGGCTGAATTTACACACGCAACTTGAGTTTTTCCTCCCTTGGCATTTTCCTCTCCAGTAGCTCTGGTGACTCTGACTCCCTCCTCTGGTTCTTCGGGTCAGTAAGACAGCTGGCTTCCTACCGCAGTCCTCGCTGCCTGGCGCAGAGCAGTGGGACACGCGCGCACACACACACACACACACACACACACCAGAAGACTTACCTTGTGGCCAGCTCTTCCTGCAACTTTCAATTCCCCTCTCACATCCACCTGCCTTTGGTCACTCTCCAGAGCCGTCTAATAGTTGTTCTTGGGTAGGGTTTCTGTTTTTTGCTTTGTATTGTCTAGAATTTAGTTACTCACAAGGGGGGTTATCTGTTAGAAACTTACTCCACCGCACAAGAAACAGAACTTTGGTATCTTCTTTGGAATAGAACCAAATCTGTCATATTTAGGAGGGAAAGTGGGGAGTCCTGCCCCACCACCCAGGTCAGACGGAAGAGGCAGACACCCAGGGGCAGTCGCCACATTTTGTTAGCAAAGCCCAAAGGGGCGGCTTTCTCCCTTGGAACCGAGGTGCAGACCAGTCCTGCAACTTGGCAGAGCTGAGGCTGAGGACCTTGGCCGTGAGGCCCTCAGCCAAGCCCCTGCCCCTGCCAACTGCAACCTCTGGCAAGCTGACCCCAAACCACCTCCAAATGCCCCCTCCTGCAATGGCTGCTTCTAGAGATTTACTTTTCATTGTTCCTTTTTTTTTCTTCCGTAAAAAAAAAAAAACATGACTGTGTGCCTTTGTCAAGCTTTCAATCCGGTGCTACATGCATGTACTATCTATGCAAACAACAAGTGAGCGGTACAATGCTACCAGCCCACAGCCTTTTGGAAAGAATCACCATCTCAAATGCATTTATATACTCTGTAACCCGAGCATCTGGCTTTGGGCAGTCTTTCCCAAGTGTGTACAATGAAAACAGGCTCAGGGTCACTCAACAGCAGCCTGATTAAATAGCTTATGGTTCATCTGTGGTTTTGGAATTTGATGCCTAAATGCACTGACAAGGATCTCCAAGGCAATGAGAAAAAGCAAGTCGCAGAAAAACTTATTTATAAATATGCATAATAGCAGGTAACATAGAGCAATTTCTACTCAGAGAACAGAGGAATTCATTAAATTTCCAAATATCAGAGGAATATACGATTACCCCATTTTATAGATGGGGCAACTGAGGTACAAAAAGGTCACATAGCTAAGTGGTAGAGACTGGACTTGAACCTGACAGCCTGCCTGTAAGGATTCTCCCAATGGCTGTGAGGCGTGACCTCTGGGAGCTAGGTATGAAAGGTGACATCCCGAACCTACAAAAAGCAGCTCACGTTTCTCTCCAAAATCCTGAGTTTAGCTGTAAAGTCAGCTGCTTTTGCCACATGGTCAACATTGAGCTGACAGGCTGTGACGCAGGGAGAGGAATCTTTTTTACTCATATGCTGGTATGTATATGTATGTGTGTATATATGTGTGTGTATATGTATATATAATTTTTATTGATTTCAAAGAGAGATAGAAACATCAACGATGAGAGAGAATGAATTGGCAGCCTCCTGCAGGCCCTCACTAGTGATTGAGCCCAAAATCGAGGCATGTGTCCTGATGGGGAATCGAACCGTGACCTCCTGGTTCACAGACCGATGCTCAACCACTGGGCCGGACGGGCTTATGCTGGTATACTGCTTGACAGTTTTAGTACAAACTTAAAAACAAAATCCACCTGCCCCTCTGGACCCAGCTGAAGGTCCTCAGTGGTGACTGCTGGGCCTCAGGAGCTGTGAAGGCAAAGCCCGTCTCCTCGTCCTCACCGAGGTCTTAAGCGGTGCCACGACGTGAGTGCTTCCTGCATGTCCCGCACGAAGGCCGTCCCTGCCGGCTGTTTGGGTGAAGCGGTTTCCTCACCTGCCATCTTGTCACAACAGTATCTACCCCCACGGGGCTGCTATGAGGGTTCAACTTAGCTAAAGCACAAGCATTTTGGAAAGCAGCAGGCAGGGCCCTAACTGGTTTGGCTCAGTGGATAGAGCGTCGGCCTGCGGACTGAAGGGTCCCAGGTTCGATTCCGGTCAAGGGCATGTACCTGGGTTGCGGGCACATCCCCAGTCAGGGGTGTGCAGGAGGCAGCTGATTGATGTTTCTCTCTCATCGATGTTTCTAACTATCTCTCTCCCTTCCTCTCTGTAAAAAATCAATAAAAAATATATATTTTTAAAAAGCACCAGGCAGGTAGTGTGACATGCTAGCATTTTCATTAAACTCTTTGACCTGAAAACCACCACCTAAGCTTCCATTTCGCCACCTGTAAAAGGGCAAACAGGACACAGCTCAATAAATAAAACACGTATTTACAAAAGAAACTGACCATGGCCCTGCATTGCAAGACGTGGGGCTGTGACGGAA